TCATGGATTACAAAAAAGTACGATCAAGTATTAACAAAAAAAATACTAATCATGGATTACAAAAAAAAAAAAAAAAAAAAAAAAAAAAAAAAAAAAAAAGAAAAGTTATGTTCTTCCGTACGGACTTACGGATTCACTGTACGGACTCGCCGATTCCGTACAGTGAATCGGCGAGTCACTGTACAAAATCGTCTGGTTCTCTCTAGAACTGGACAATTCCCGTTTTTTTCACCGATTCGAAACGTTCATGGCGATTCCCGAGTCGAACCGGGCGAGTCCGGTTCGACTCGGCGTTTTTTTAAACACTAGTTAGATTATATTCGGGAGAACTTAGATGTGGCTCCAAAAAGCGATCAGATGAGAGAAAGTAGATTTAGGTGGGCTGGCCATGTGCAGCGTAGGCCTAATACAACGCATACCCAGGGAGCCTGTATCAATAGGGTTTGGTACGCGACCGATTTTCGATCCAAATCAGTGGGTTTTAAAAAGCTAGTTAGCAAAGTTTCAAAATGTTTAAAAAATTGAATGTAGAAGAGTTTATTCACCTCTTTTAGCGTCTTTTTGGGTTGGCATATGATGCTAGCAGGTCAGTTTCCTACAACCTGCTAGCTTCACCACAGCATATGTCAACAGCAGGATATCATGGTTGAGTGATTCAACGGCTCAAAGTTAAAAGACTTCTATGAAATTTGAATAGAGGAACGACGCACCCCCGTCGTCCCTTGTTGGTATTTGAAGGCCAAGATGATGCTAACAAGTATATAGGAAATTCAAGTTGTAGCACAAATTACTGTCCATTTTTTATTTAATGTTAATCGATTTTCAATTAAAGGAGGTAGACAACTTGTATAAAGAACTGTACCAAACATTTTGTGATTGCAACAGTTTGATGGCTGCTCTCCGAGTGTATGATGTTAGATGCAGGCAGTCGGTGCGTATTCGTTTCTCTGTTGTCGTTGGAAAAACAATGGTCCATGGGCCAGAGTGGTAGACTCTCTTAATTGAGGTCCAGGCATCAACCCTCTTAACCGGCGTTCGATTGCACGAATCGGCCACATAACCCAGCCCATGGATCCGGGTAACCGGCCCAAGTTGGGGAGGTCCTGGCCGCGATAAAAGGGTTAAAAAAAATCTAAAAAAATAGGAAACGTATACATCCAAATGGGAATAAAAAAGTATTGGAAAATACATTTTGAAAAATCAATTTGAGCCCAGGAATATTTTAAAAATAATTTTAAAAAAGTTAGGGCCAAAACCAGCCATTGCCAATAGCCGGTTCCAGGTAACCCAGCCGGTTCGAGTCGACCCAGCCAATTGTGCGAACACTGTTCTTAACCTCTTTTAGGATTACGCTCAAAGCTAGGTTTGCAAGGCGGGGGAGCGCCCTGACACACCTTCGCTATTGAAATACGTAAAAAAAAAAGAAAAAAAAGAAAAAGAAATAAAAGAAAAAAAAAGAAAGTAAAATAAAGAAAAAAAAAAAAAAAAAAAAAAAAGAAAAAAAAGAAAGAAGAAAAAAAAGAAGTCAAGGGTGGTAGTAGCTCACTATAGGAAAGCTATTTGCTAGGGTACCTTGTTGGGTTAAAACAAAAAGGAAGAAAACAACAAACAACAAAAAAAAATAAAGAAATCAAAAAAATAAAAAATTAGAAGGAGTAGAAAAAAAAAAGATTATTCAAAATTAATCATGACTGAGATGAGAAAAGTTCATATAAAGTGTCATCCTTACATCATTGAAGTAAGGTGCACCTAAAAAATCCTCCACATGAGAATGTTTAGATATTGAAAAACCTTCCAATTTGATCATCTCAACCTTAAGATGTATGGACATGCAAAAAAAAAATTTCAAATATTAAAAAATAGTACATCTTTTAAAATATTATCTAGACTATCTATTTTCAAGATTTTCAAATATTTATAGATCTCTTTAATTTGTATCATTTTTAAACAATTTAATTTCATAACCTCGCATGAAAATATATATTCAAGCCGCCATAAGTTTCTGTCCCCAAACAAAATTTAGAGCTGCACCCCACTTCTACAATATAAAGAAGTGCCTTATACAAATCTCACCCTCAGATGTATACAACAAAGTCCAAGTAAATTTTTTGAAACAAGCCCCTTGAATAAAGGTTAAAAAAAACCAATATTGCATAGTGACTATACTAAGTAGTATAGATATCATTGTGGGAGATGTTGATAGTTGAAATGATAATTGATATAACAAGATTTTTTGTTTTGGTTAAAAAAATGTTAGAGCTTTTATAGATGGGGAGTGTTTCTATGGGACCCCACTCATATAGAAAAAATACCTTATTGTTACTTTCTAACCGTCGGATTTAAAAGAACGGCTGGGATAGCACCAATCAAAATGTTATTAATTTGAAAACAAATTTGGCAAATGACTCTCTCAAGTTGCCATTCCCTTACCATCCTACCTATCACATGCCCATGCTCCCTCTCTCCCTCTCATGCCAAACTCTCTTTCTAATCTCATTATCTCTCTCTAACCCTTGCATTTCTCATATGCTGGAAACCCTAACCATCTCTATTGCTTTCTCTCTCTAGCGAAAATGAGAGGAAGAGAAAGAGAGAGCCATAGCCACACAACTACTATCTTGCTTTCCCTCTAGATCCGACAGCTAGAAAGTAATAATCACATATTTTTTTTATATGGGTGGGGTCACATAGAAAATCGTCCCTTTATAGATCAATACAATAAGAACATTTTATAGCAAATTCCAGCAAATATGGTGAAGAACGGTGGAGATATCAAAGCTTTTCAATTTCAGGCTAAAAAAATCTTAGAAATTTGAACTCTTAATTTCTTTAAGTTTGAATTTAGATTCAACACATTTACTTGGATCTTCTAGAAGAATCTAATACCAACATTTTGAATCAAATTTCACATGATCTCATTAGAAAATGCCAGATTGTAGGAAAGGCGGATTGTGCTTTAGTTCTCAAAGGGGGAGTATGTTTTTGAAAAAAAACTTGATCAAACAATTTTTCAATAAGAGAATGGCTATTGGGGGCTAATGTGAATCAATTTGGATCCAAATCAATCAAAATGGGGCTTGGACATGGATTAAATATGGCAGAAAACACAAGGTTAAAAATACAATTTTTTATTTTATTTTATTTTATTTTTCATGTGAAAAAGTAAAAAAGTAAAAACATGGGCACCCAAGCGGACTCGCTCGAGTCGAGGCCTAGGTGTCCTATAGTTCCGAACCGACTCAGTGAGTACACCATGACACAATCCCTAAAAATTAACGCAAAAGGGCTAACCAGTTGGCTAACCAAGTTTTTGGTAGTCCCCCCAAAGCAGTCAATACTCGACTTAATCCGTACTCGACTTAATCCTTAGGTATCAGGCAATTGCAACACTACATCCGAAGTTCAAAACCATGACTCCACTCCTTAGGAAGGGCAAACTAGCTGACAATGGGCAGGATGGCCCGGCCTAAAACTAGTGCTTGGGCTATAGCATGTGGCCCCAAAGCCAAGTCAAAGCCGGCCTTATTTGGTCGGGCCTGCCCTTTTAAGCTTTTTTTTCTTTTTCTTTTTTTTTTCATTGATTGTGAGGAAATTTATCAAAATACATCTTAGAAATGAACTATGCAATTTATTACACATCGTTTGATTTAATTTTAAAAATCACACCAAAAGAGTCGTGACCATGAGTTGGAATAGTTGATGACAGGTAAAATAGAAATTACAATTTATTTTGATAAACTTTCCTTGATTGTTTTTGGCCCAGACGATGGGCTACAGACGGACCTCTTCGACCCGATCCAGGCCGCAGATAGCCCGGGCTGGCCCCATGGGAGCCAGGGCCAGGGCTAGGGCTGGCCCGGTCCGTTGCTCACACTAGAAGATCGTCGCATATATTTCAATTTTCAACTGCAAAGATATGAACTTCAACGAAATTTTTTAAGGTTGGCCCGAGGAATGTGAACTTCAAACTTACAATCTCTGCAACTCTTTCTCTTTGGTTAACCGGGGAGGGGCCATGCTGCTGCACTACTTGGTCTAAAAGATTGGTGATCCATCACTTAGTTAATAACTACAAGCATAAAGTAATAACTACAAGCATAAAGTTATTCCTTATCAAGCTAAATCCAGTTGCATAGGGGCCCTTTTGTAGCCCTTAAAAAGCTAAATCCAAAGCACATCATTGGCATGTTCATACAAATAAAGTTCACATAGAACAGAAGAGTTCACAGTTAATAAGGTCGCGAGGCTCCCCTGTATAATATGGAGAAAACCATCATAAAAAACATGAATAACTCAAAGATGCAATTTTTGAGAGAGAGAGAGATCAGATATGTGAGGACCAATTTGCTGCGCTACCAACCCGAGGCATGCCCGTGTCCTTCTTAGTCCCTGCATCCACCTTAAAGGTTGCCCCACATACCTGGCCTTGGCTATCAACTCTCGGCATTGGCTTCACCTCACTTAATGGATGCTCAAAACTCCTTAATCCACCAGAGGTTGTGAAGAAGCAGCCTGTGTAAGACAACAATGGATCAAAAATAAGATGTTAAAAACTGCAAAACAACATTCAATAAAAAGAATCATAGATGGCTGATTATCAATGATGTTAATGAGTCTAAAGACACGACAACTCATAGTATCACTGGTTCATGGCATAATCCAGTTATGACTTTAACATGAACCATCGCATATAAAAAAGGATTCATAACTACTCATTTGTTCAATAATTTGTGAAAGCATGAATAATATTTAATGGGTGTGGCTTGTATAGAGCTTAGGCTCTAAACAATCAAATTAGAGCCTACCTTCAAATAATGTCGAAAAATGTCATTTCAATACTGGAAATCTTTGTGATAGCCTTAAAATATATTTTTATTTTTAAAGCTTCAAAAATAGTGTAAATCGCTATATCTACGAAAACTTAAAAATCTTGAAAATTGACGGTCCAAAAAGGTGTTACAAAATATACTATTTTCAAAATTTGAAATCCATTTTTTTCTCATGTCTATGCATCTTGATTTCAAGATGATCAATTTCAGGATATTTTGCCATCGAAACAACCTCTTATAGTGAAATTTTTGTGGTAGGCTCAAATTTGATAGTTTAGAGCCTCGGCTCTATATAAACTTTTCCCATATTTAATTTATACAGGAAAAAAAGAAAAAGCAAGTAATGAAACAATTTATTTGCTTAACCAATCGATCATGGAAAACGCAATTGATAAGTCAAAAAGGCACATCAAGCGCAATACATTGTACCTTGCAAAACACTTGGATTGATTTAAGTAATTGCAAAAGCAGTATCATGGTGAGATAACAATCACAGTTACACTAATGAGCTGATCAAGAAACTTAATAAATCAGACTGCAACTGCAAACACTATACTCCTTTCATGAATAAATAATATTATTTTCATTCATTTATTTATTCACGTACCTTTCGGAAATGGAGCAAATGATTTTCCACAACCCTTCTTCATGACCTCTGAGTCATCTGAAAGAACGAGATGGCCTTCATTATCAGTGCCCCAGTAAAATGGAACACTACCATCAGAATCCTGCCATTGCATATAGGTCAGTCCCCAACTTCGATCAATTGAAAATATCAAATTCCATTGACTAAGTGCAAGAAAAAATGAGCATCTTTCATAAATTGAAAATAACCAGAATTCTCATATAAAGGATGCGGGTGGGCAAAACGATCGACCTTTGCAAATTGTTCCCTTGGTCAATGTAGAATATGTGCAGGGAAAAATGTACAGAGAGATGAATATATTATTCAATAGATAATGAATGTTCCACAATGAATGTATGAATTCATGCATGCAATTCATAATTAAGATTAAGTGGGTTCTACATGGATTAGGTGGGAATTGGTGTTTTAGAAATAATAATAATTTAGTTTACATAATTCTAATATAATTAGACTAAAAAGGTAAGATATTCTTTCGGATAATTCAAAAGAGAAAATATCTACAAGTGTCTCAACCAATTAATCAGAAGGGATTAATTTAAATAACCATACAAAAATATGGAAAACTGAATTACTTAACAGAGAAAAAGCAACAAAAATATCTAGAATTCATCAATTTAATATTGGAAGAAAGACAACAAAGAATAATTTGGATACACTTAATAACCCTAACTACAGAAATTCATTCTACAAGCCACCAATCCCCCACCCTCCCAAAGAGAAAAAAAAAAGTACATAGAGTAAAGGTCAACAAAATCAGATGAACAAAATAAAGTGGCTATAATTTTAAAATGTAATCCATGTTTTTGTTAATTTTCTACACCTGTAGAATGATTTATCAAATCCAATAAGCACGAGAAGTTAGCAATGAAAACAATAAAATCCAGAAATCCTAATCAGATGAATCGATGTAGATCTGAATAAACAAAAAAAGGAAAAATATTTTCATTTTCATTTTGGGGATTCCATCTCTCCATATTAAAAACGCTAGTCCATCAAAAGATCATAAAATCAAAATCTAAAGACAAAACTAACAGAAAAATTATTGATGGAGTTTGATCATACCGTTGCTATGAAGATATTTTGAGTAGAGGCATCAAAGAGAATGAACCCAAATTTTCCATGGAGATCTCTCACAACCTGATCAGGAGGGTAAGGTCCCCTGTCTCTAAGAGTCCTATAAGCCTCAACAACAATGCTCACTTCGTTTGCTGTCTTGCTCAGACCATACTGTTGCTTCAATATAGCAATGTTCTCAATGTGCCCATGAAACAAGCAAAACATATCATCCACCACAGCAAATAATCTAGAGAGAGAGAGAGAGAGAGAGAGAGAGAGAGAGTAGTTAGTTAGATAGTAAATTTAAACGTTTAAAAGGAAGAACGAAGAGTAGTAGGTTAGGTTTTAGTTAAGTAACGGTAAGTAAAGTAAGTAAGGTTGGGGTTCGTTTAGTTTACGTTTTT